TACATACATACATACATAAAATTATAACATTTTTATATATATATAATTTTTTATATAAAGAAATCAGGAAATATCTCACGCTCACCAAGTCTAATTATTTGATCAAAAAGACAGTAAAAGAATATATTTTAAAATGTATTCATGTGATGGCAAAGCTAATAATCATGAACTCCAGTCTTCAGTGTCACATGATCCTTCATAAATCATTCTAATATGCTTGTATTACGAAAATACATATTAATTGTTCATACTAACTCAAGCCTGCTTTGACATCATGAAAAAGTCCTCTTGGGCTCTCAGTTGGCAGCTGGGTCAGAGGTCCAAGAAAAGGTATCTGTGCTCAAATTAAATAAATACATCCACAAAGATAGATAGATAGATAGAGAGAGAGAGAGATAAATGATAATAACTTGTAACCATCATTATTGTACATGTTTATCCTTAGGAAAAAGTGAGGAAAACTAAAAAGAAGACAGCAATAACAGCAATAAGTGAGTGTTAGTGGCAGCAGAGCAGCAGGCACAAAACCCTCTCTACGAATTCCCATCAGTGCCCACAGTGGTGGACTTGGCTGTAACAAGTCCAAAGATACGTCATGTTAAATGAAATAGGATTTATAAAGATAAATAAATAAATAATCTTAATACTTGATAAAGTACTTGAATACCTGAAAAGTATTTAATGACATATGCGTGAGGCAGCCCACACTCACCCTGACTTTCATTGAGTTTGTCCATGCCAACCCAACCAGTGATGAAACAGCTGACGCACAAAACACTGGTGAAACGCCTTTTTATTGTGTTTGGGTGATCCATAAAGAACGATTTAAACATTATACACTGCAGCTGAACTGTTATCTTAAGTTAGATAAACAATAGCACAGTGCTTTGCAGACAGCTTTATCACAACCTGAGTTTCCCCTCCCTACACACAAACTCCCAACATACAGTCAAGCAGTAAACAAACAACACACAACAGATATCAAACACTCTTCTTCAAATGTTTCTGAAAGGGGTTTGATTGATAACATCGCCCGTTATTCCAAAGAAACATGCTGCTGTGTGAAAAGAAGATCATTTTTTGTTAAAAGAAGATATTGAAGCTGCTTGCCGTTCATGGCGTAGCCTCAGTTGTCAAGCCTGAGCAGTGTAATCTTATTCTAGCATTGTCACGTTTTTATGTCCAGTTTATGTCTTCTGTTGGTAAACTATTGTTTAAACAACTAAGATTAAAAAATTTTTAATAGTTGAATAGGATTTTTATTGCACTTCTAACTTCTTAAATGCGCTTTACCTATATTTTGAAATGTGGCTCAGATTGGTTTGGCTGTTTGTTTTAAAGGTTATTATTATTAAAAATATCAAAAATATTAACTATAATAAGATGCACACAAACACTGTTTACAAGTAATAAAAGAAAAAAAAATGTCATAAACGCAAGACTTTTATATTCCCACACCATCTACCCGCCAAAATACGCCCGTGAAGTGAGATATAAGCGTCTAAAACGGTCAATATCACCATCCTGTGGAAAATAAATTTAATTGAATTCCATTTCAATAGTAAGTCTCACTCCCTCCAATTTATTTTTTACAAGCATGCATGTTCTTTGTGCAGTTTTGACGGCAATGTGTTTGCAAACCCCACCACCACTTTTGTTTCTTTCTGGACTTTTATTTTGATGGCCGATATCGCGCGCAACCATATTGGAGTAGTGTAGGCGCGTTCACGCTGTTCTTCACACACTTTCGGCATGGCTGCGGACAGTACAATGTCTAATGGTCAGGAAACGGCCTCTCTGAACGGTGAACCCGCGCTCAAGCGCTCCAGAGACAGCGTGGACTCTCTGCGGATCCTGCGGGAGCCCCAGAATAAAGTGACCGTCGTAAAGCTAATAATCATGAACTCCAGTCTTCAGTGTCACATGATCCTTCATAAATCATTCTAATATGCTTGTATTACGAAAATACATATTAATTGTTCATACTAACTCAAGCCTGCTTTGACATCATGAAAAAGTCCTCTTGGGCTCTCAGTTGGCAGCTGGGTCAGAGGTCCAAGAAAAGGTATCTGTGCTCAAATTAAATAAATACATCCACAAAGATAGATAGATAGATAGAGAGAGAGAGAGAGAGAGAGAGAGAGAGAGATTGGTTTAATGGGTCTTAAAGGGTACAATGTTTTTTGTTATAATGGTTACCCAACATTTGGGTTTAGAGGCCTGGTTTGTAACCATCAGGCTACCAATTATTGTACATGTTTATCCTTAGGAAAAAGTGAGGAAAACTAAAAAGAAGACAGCAATAACATACCATAGTGAGTGTTAGTGGCAGCAGAGCAGCAGGCACAAAACCCTCTCTACGAATTCCCATCAGTGCCCACAGTGGTGGACTTGGCTGTAACAAGTCCAAAGATACGTCATGTTAAATGAAATAGGATTTATAAAGATAAATAAATAAATAATCTTAATACTTGATAAAGTACTTGAATACCTGAAAAGTATTTAATGACATATGCGTGAGGCAGCCCACACTCACCCTGACTTTCATTGAGTTTGTCCATGCCAACCCAACCAGTGATGAAACAGCTGACGCACAAAACACTGGTGAAACGCCTTTTTATTGTGTTTGGGTGATCCATAAAGAACGATTTAAACATTATACACTGCAGCTGAACTGTTATCTTAAGTTAGATAAACAATAGCACAGTGCTTTGCAGACAGCTTTATCACAACCTGAGTTTCCCCTCCCTACACACAAACTCCCAACATACAGTCAAGCAGTAAACAAACAACACACAACAGATATCAAACACTCTTCTTCAAATGTTTCTGAAAGGGGTTTGATTGATAACATCGCCCGTTATTCCAAAGAAACATGCTGCTGTGTGAAAAGAAGATCATTTTTTGTTAAAAGAAGATATTGAAGCTGCTTGCCGTTCATGGCGTAGCCTCAGTTGTCAAGCCTGAGCAGTGTAATCTTATTCTAGCATTGTCACGTTTTTATGTCCAGTTTATGTCTTCTGTTGGTAAACTATTGTTTAAACAACTAAGATTAAAAAATTTTTAATAGTTGAATAGGATTTTTATTGCACTTCTAACTTCTTAAATGCGCTTTACCTATATTTTGAAATGTGGCTCAGATTGGTTTGGCTGTTTGTTTTAAAGGTTATTATTATTAAAAATATCAAAAATATTAACTATAATAAGATGCACACAAACACTGTTTACAAGTAATAAAAGAAAAAAAAATGTCATAAACGCAAGACTTTTATATTCCCACACCATCTACCCGCCAAAATACGCCCGTGAAGTGAGATATAAGCGTCTAAAACGGTCAATATCACCATCCTGTGGAAAATAAATTTAATTGAATTCCATTTCAATAGTAAATCTCACTCCCTCCAATTTATTTTTTACAAGCATGCATGTTCTTTGTGCAGTTTTGACGGCAATGTGTTTGCAAACCCCACCACCACTTTTGTTTCTTTCTGGACTTTTATTTTGATGGCCGATATCGCGCGCAACCATATTGGAGTAGTGTAGGCGCGTTCACGCTGTTCTTCACACACTTTCGGCATGGCTGCGGACAGTACAATGTCTAATGGTCAGGAAACGGCCTCTCTGAACGGTGAACCCGCGCTCAAGCGCTCCAGAGACAGCGTGGACTCTCTGCGGATCCTGCGGGAGCCCCAGAATAAAGTGACCGTCGTGTTGGGAGCTCAGTGGGGCGATGAGGGGAAGGGGAAAGTGGTCGACCTCTTGGCAATGGACGCCGACATTGTGTGCAGATGCCAGGTGGGTAACGTATCCAACCGCTCATCATTTTGTGTTTAGGAGAGTTTGCGCAGCCGTTAACGTTATGTCTGTACTGGCTTGCTGTTATTAGACCGAGGTAAAAGCAGAAGGAATCACTTGCAGAAGTCGCAACACTAACCTTACAATGAACAGTTTATTTTATTCTTTGCCATCGCCACTTGTTGGCAGGACAAGTGATGTAACGTTTCCTGTGGCTAGATTTTTATCTTATCGCGATACTTGCGTTCATGTTTGTAACAGCTGTGTATTATCAGGGAGGAAATAACGCGGGACACACAGTGGTGGTGGACTCGGTGGAGTATGACTTTCACTTGCTACCTAGCGGCGTTCTCAACAAAAAGGCCATTTCTTTTATTGGTATGTTTTTGTTTGACCTTCCCCCTAGTTTTTTTTTCCATTTAAAAGTACGTATTTATGTCTTCTCTGTATTAACCTCAGTTCATTGTTTGAACGTTTGACTTGCTGTTGTGTTTGCTGAGATCTTTTTTTGTTCTGTCCCGCAGGAAATGGTGTTGTGATACACCTGCCAGGACTTTTTGAGGAGGCTGAGAAGAACTCGCAGAAAGGCAGTGGTAAGTTGGTAAATGTCGTTTGATTAATCTATTTATTTAAAATACCTATTTATTTGGTCTGGGCTATATAGCTAAAAGTCGTATCTCGATATTTTTGCACATTTTGATGATATTCTGTATATATCTCAATGCATTTTCTCTCAAAAAATTTAAAAAGATGTTTTTTGCGCCTCATGAAAAAAACATGATCCGTATAGAACAGCTATTGTTACGAAGTACAGACAAATTGTTTACTGCAAAATCAACACAGTTAAAAAAAATAATACTAATATAAGCTTGGTGACCACTTAATGTTTTTTTTGTTTTTTTTTGACTAAATGAGCATGTAAGGAATGTCTTATTTACTTAAAGGTACCACTGTACCAATATAAAATATGAAAATTATGCAAAAAGAGCATTGTTCCTTACAAAAAGTTGTGGTTGTTGCAAGAACAAAGAAACAAGTCACTCATTACATAGAACAAGTGGAGAGTGGGCCAGGAGGTAAAACTCAGTGACATTCCCTCACATACTTGAAAACTGTAATATATATATATATATATAATTTAAAAAAATTTTCCCCCATCTCTGTTAGATGAGGTATTTGGTTTTTTTTCTATTAATGAGTTCTTTTGCTTTGTTTAATTTAGGACTTCAAGGATGGGAGGAACGACTGAAGATATCTGACCGGGCACATATTGGTATGGTTCTGTTTTGACTTCATCAGGCCTTGAGTAATTTGGGTTTATTCCTGATGACATTGACTATGTGCGGCATTGTCTCTGACAACTAAAAACACCAAGAAACTCCATATCTATTTATATATATAATTTAAAAAAAATTCTCCCCCATCTCTGTTAGATGAGGTATTTGTTTTTTTTTCTATTAATGAGTTCTTTTGCTTTGTTTAATTTAGGACTTCAAGGATGGGAGGGACGACTGAAGATATCTGACCGGGCACATATTGGTATGGTTCTGTTTTGACTTCATCAGGCCTTGAGTAATTTGGGTTTATTCCTGATGACATTGACTATGTGCAGCATTGTCTCTGACAACTAAAAACACCAAGAAACTGATATCTATGCCATTGGAATTAGAGCGCTTCTATTTTTCTGTGTAGTGTTCAATTTCCATCAAGCCGTTGATGGGATACAGGAGCAGCTGAGACAGCAGCAGGCAGGGAAGAAGTGAGGTTTCTTTTTTTGACCTTATAAAAGCTTAATTTGTAGATCATTTTCTTCAGTTTTAATATTGAGTTCACCCTCCTTTGTTTTTCAGTTTGGGCACCACTAAGAAGGGCATTGGACCTGCATATTCCTCCAAAGCAGCACGTAATGGACTGCGAGTGTGTGATCTGGTCTCAGACTTTTCAGTCTTTGAGGAAAAGTGAGTATTATACTATATTTCTTTTCAACTTTTCAGAAAACTGTATATGAAAATAAGCATATCTGCTTTTGTTAGACTTTTTTTTTTTCTCTGAAATTTAGAACTGCGTGTTTATGCAATCCTAATTGTCGATTGTTTGTCTTAATATTGTAACTTTGATTATTCATTTTTAATTCACATTATAATTTTATGGCAATTACATATTCTTATTGTAGGCTACTAATCAATGCCTCAGTGATCAGATTGACCCTCATGGCAGAAAGATAAATACATGTAAATATCTCTCTACAGGTTTCGGGTGCTGGCTGGTCATTTTCAGACCACATATCCTAACCTTAATATTGATATTGATGCTGAGCTTGAGCAACTGAAGGTGATTAGCGTCTTGGCATCTTTCAATATGATCTGCGAAACTGCTCATTCATGAACTTGCCAAGTAATATTTTCTCCATTTCACCCACAGGGTTATGCTGAGAGGTTACGTCCTCTAGTAACTGATGGAGTTTATTTCATGCACAAAGCCCTCAACGGGCCAAGCAAGAAGATTCTGGTGGAAGGAGCCAACGCTGCATTACTGGATATTGATTTCGGTATGAACAGCAATCCTGCATAAAATGGGAGATCCACTGGTGTGCTTTGAAACTGAGGAACAGTGGAAAGTGTATTTGCCAGTGTGAATGATGCAAATGTCTAATATTTCCTTCTCTTTCAGGGACCTACCCCTTTGTGACCTCATCAAACTGTACTGTCGGAGGCGTTTGCACAGGTCTTGGGGTCCCCCCATCTCATGTTGGCCGTGTGTATGGAGTGGTGAAGGCCTACACCACCAGAGTGGGAGTGGGGGCATTCCCTACTGAGCAAGATAATGTGAGTGTGCGTCAGTGACTCTGTGATATTCTCTCACATGTATTATATTTGAAAATTGTTAATGTTCTTTTTGATGTTTTCTAGGACACTGGTGATCTGCTTCAGAGCAGAGGGAGGGAATTTGGTGTAACAACAGGCAGGCGGCGTCGCTGTGGATGGCTGGACCTGGTTTTGGTTCGCTATGCCCACATGGTTAATGGTTTTTCAGCGTGAGTTGTTAAGCGTTTTACATACACTACCACTCAAAAAAATTATGTCTTTTATGCTCAACACAGCTGCATTTATTTAATGAAAAATGTTACCAGTAGAACAGTAATATTGTAAAATATTACAATTTTAAATAATGATTTTGTATTCAAATGTATTTTAACGTGATTTATTCCTGTGATGGCAAATCATACTAATATGCTGATGTGGTGCTCAATAACATTCCTTATTATCAATGTTGAAAACGGTTGTCTATTAATTTTTTTGGTAGCTATGGCACAGGTTCAACATTAGTAAGCTTTGTTTTGTTAATTTAGCAATACTTTTCCTTCTGTTTCTCTCAGCATTGCTCTGACCAAGTTGGACATTCTTGACACATTGCCGGAAATAAAGATTGGCATAACCTACACAGTTGATGGAAAGCCTCTCCCCAGTTTTCCTGGCAAGTTGACTTATTTGTGTTACACATTTTCATATTTCTCACACATTACAATGATATTCACACATAAGCAGTATAGTAATATTGTAATATGTGTATAAGCATAGAACCATATTGTGTATTTCAGCAAACATGGATGTCCTCACAAAGGTTCAAGTGACTTATGAGACGTTCCCTGGCTGGTGTTGTAGTACTGAGGGAGTCCGCAGTTTTGATGAGCTGCCTTCACAGGCACAAGCTTACATTTGCTTTATCGAGAAGTTCCTGGAGGTTCCAGGTAAATACACATACTGTATAGATGACTAACATATGCATCAACAAAAATGTAACCTACTGGCATGCTTAGAAATATCAAAATGGTCATGAAAGAATTTTTTTCTCTTTTCAGTGAAGTGGGTGGGAGTTGGCAAGTCAAGAGAAAGCATGATAAAGCTGTTCTGACGAGGGCAACGGGAAAGGCTGAACTTCATTTGATGGTCTGCCAGGACATCCATCATCATGACCGTTTGAGGACCAGAACTTTCTTTTATGCATCAGCGCTGAGATTAAGACTAACTGTGGGTTTAGAATCCACTGAATGTCCGTGAACACCAGCATTGCGTATAGAGGTCTGGTTTGAGCACCAGACTCGCTTTCCTGCATTCGTAAATCCTTGACTCATGCCTATTTGTTCCAAAGCACATCCCAGAACTCCTCAGAACATACCTCTGTCAATCACTAGTAGTTGTCTGAAGTCTGATTAATTGCAGAGCTTCAGATTGAGGGGTGTCATTTTTACCGTATTTCTTAAAATCAAACTGCACTCTAGCATTTAAATTTACCATTTTCATTGCTAATAGGTGGATAAAGCCAAACAGATTTTTAAGATTGTCATGTACTGTTTATTTTTTTATGTAATCCAGTGTGAGGGGGGAGAGCGCTAAATCTTGTCTTTTTAATTCAGTGTTTGTGTATACTCTTAAGTATAGTTTGTTTGACATGGTTTGAAATACAAAAAGGGACCTTAAGTCTTTGTGATATTGGAAAAAAAAAAGGCATTGTTTTTGATTAGTGTCAATGTCAGTGATTAGTGCATTCAGACACAGATCTTGAATCTATGAATGACAGTTACACATACACAGATATACATTGCATTCCACCTAGCGCAGAAACTCATTTGCTGCTGTTTTTTGAAGAATAAAGTGCAAAACTAATTATGGTTTTAAGTGAATGTTTGTGTGAATGCATTTTTTACTCAAACTGTATTTCAAATGGGAGATGGTTACAACATGATTAATCTGTATAGAGTTCGATATTTATTTTACAAATATGTTATGTCACTTTTAAAGCAACACATCCTGTTTTTTTAAGACTTTAAATGAAACATAATTATGAGTTTAGGTGTGATGTCATATACGTTTTTAAGTAAAAAGGTTACTAAAATTATCTGAATATATTTCGCAATCTCAGCCATGAGCATATGGTGAGTAACAGTTCCATCGGGAAATAGGATTCAAGTGAACGGAGTAATTCTGAATTATCATCAGTCTAACATTTGTCTCGCGAGGCAGCAGTTCCAAGTATAATGCGAGTTTTTCTGTGTGTGCTGTATCTCGTCCAGTGCCACCAGGCATTTGGGATGGACGTTCAGGTATAATTAAGCTTTTTTTCTTTTCTTTTTTGCCAAAATGCAAACGTTTATTATAGGAACCTGTTTCATATATTCATTTCAGTCTGTGCTATTGCATTGTGACTCTAAATGATATTTGCTAAATGTTTTCTCCGTTATCCTAGTTTTTCTACCTAGTACGCTGATAGTTAAGTGGCAGTAAAACTATTAATAAATGCCGTGATTTTTAAAATGCATGAAACTGCTATTACGTTCTTTATAGGCAGTGTATGTAACTTGTTTTCTGCAGTGTGTAGGCGTTGTAAACACAGCGTCCGTGTTTTGGTGAATGACGTAGGATGATGGAGTACGTGCTTAGGATCATCATATCTGTTAGAGCAGGGGTGCCCAACCCTGCTCCTGGCGATCGACTGTCCTGCAAAGTTTAGCTCCAACCCTAATCAAAGACACCTGCCTTTAATTTTTAAGTGATCCTGAAGACCCTAATTAGTTGCTTCGGGTGTGTTTGATTAGGGTTGGAGCTGAACTTTGCAGGACAGTCGATCGCCGGGAGCAGGGTTGGGCACCCCTGTCATCCCTGTGTTTAGGCAGGAGAGATGTAGACACAACCATAGGCGGAAATCCCGGGGGGGTCTGAGGGTTCTGAGGGTTGCAAATATGATTAAAAACCAGGCTGTGCATTGTAAATAACAACGTTTTATACTTTAATCAATTGTAAGTAGTAAAACAACACAAACGGGGCAAAAATGCGTTTTAAGTTTAGAA